GATCGAGGTTGGCAGAGTATGATCCTGGGGAGGGGGGGAGACTAATGGGCAGGCGGGGCGCTTTAGCAAGAAAACGGAGTCGTAGGGGGTTGGGGTCCAAGTGGGGGTTGCTATTGGGTTGATGTCGGTTTCAGACTGTGGTTGGAAGGGTTAAGGGAGGTTGGAAATATGATTATGGACGGGAGTCGAAGGAAGGAGGAGCCAATGAGGTGTATTGGGGGGGAGGTTTGGTAGTTTGGGGAAGAGGCGAGGTGAGGACGGTTGGGAAGGGAACGCTAGATGGCAGGATGAGTTTGAACGGTTGGGTTCACAAGGTGGCAGGTTGAGTATGACTGGATGAAGAATTGGTAGTCTGGTGTAGAGTCGTGGGGCGGGGGGGTGATATTGATGTAGGGAGGGGAAGGAGCCGGTTGAGATTGGATGAAGCGGAGGCGTGTGGTGTGGTGTGTTGAAAATGGGAAGGAGTGGTAGTGGGTCTGAAATAGAGTTGGATCAGATCGTAGTTGGGGAAAAATTGCGTTTTGGTTACGGTTCGCGATCGAGGTTGGCAGAGTAGGATCCCGGAGGTGGGAGGAGACTGATGGGCTCGCGGGATGCTTTAGCAAGAAAACGGAGTTGTGGGGGGTTGGGGTCCGAGAGGGGGATGCTATTGTGTTGATGTCGGTTTCAGGATGAGGGTGGGAGGGCCGAGGGAGGTTGGAAGTATGGTTATGAATGAGAGTCGAAGGAAGGAGGAGACAATGAGGTGTATTGGGGGGGAGATTTGGTAGTCTGGGGTAGAGGCGTGGTGGGGTCGGTTGGGGTGGGAGCGCAAGATGGCGGGTTATAGTTCCTACTAAAGAGTGACTAAGATTGTGGACGGGATGGGGACGCGGGCGGGCTGGCCGAATCAGGGTCAAGATGGGTTCGCGATTGGGTGAGTGTCTGATTCGAGATAAGATAAGATCTTACCGGCTGGCGTGAGGTCGGTGATGTGGTTGAGGGGGGATAGTGTGGGGCGGGAATGGGAGTTGAAGGGGGGAAGATTTGGGGTGCTTGGGGGGGTGGTGGAATAAGAGATGGTTGAGGTAAGGGGTCAATGGAGGGCAGGGTAATTCCGGAGTGGGAAGGGAACACTTCAGGTCCGGGGTGGGATCTTCATTGGGTTGGGATCAATCTCTAGATGTGGCCGGAATGGCGGAGGGAAAACAGTAGTCTGACTATGGATGGAGAGTAGGTGAAGAGAGAGGGGGGATAGATGATGTGAGGTGTAGCGGAGCGGAGCGGCGGGTTGAGCTTAGTTGAGGCGGGTTGAACTCAATTGAGGCGGGGGCGCGAGGTAGAATGGGATGATCCTGGGATGGGGATGTACTGAATCTAGGATAGTAAAAAAGAACGAAGTGGGGTTGGGGCGGGATTGGCGTCGGAGTGAGCTCGAGATCGGGATTGGTTAAGGAGCGGTGTGGGATCGTGCTGGTTTCAAGGGGGGGAGATGGGCTGCAGATCGGGGTGGGAAGGAAGGGGGATTGTGGTGAGGTCGGGGTGAGAAAGGGAACGGGATCGGGACTGGTATATGGTCTGTTTGGGAACAGGTTGGGTTGGAATGGAAATTGGGATAGAGATCGGGATGGGACAGGTGGCGGGGTCGTGGTGGGATTAGGGTCCGGTAGGGGATCCAGATTGTGTTGAAGTCGGGGCCTAAGGTCGCGGTTGGAACGGGCTGGTAACGGGGTGGGTTGGGGTGAGATTAAGAGGGGTTAGGATCGGGATGGTATGTATTCGGAGGGTTGAAGCGCGATCGGGTCGGGGTCGGGATTGAGGCCGGGATTAGGATGAGGAGTTGAGATCGGGCCGATGGGATCGGGATGGTGTCGGTATGGGATTAGTTTGGGGGGGGTCGGTATTACTTGCTGGGGGACGAGTAGGTAGTTATAGTCGAGAATGCGTGAAGGAGTGAGAGCAGACTGTTGGGGAGAACGTCGAGGGAGAAAGAGATCGTAGAGGGGAGGAAAGAGAATGAAGAAACGAAGGCAGGAGATGGGTGATTGTGAGGGGTCGAATAGAGATAGCAGACTGGAGGGGAGCACGTCGTGAGAGAGGGAGAACTTAGGGGAGAGGGAATAAAAGGCAAAGACGGAGGGCGGAGATGGGTGTTAGTGGGGGGTCGAATAACGACTTTTCACTCTCAAAATTGATGAGGGCTCGCTGACGTCAGATCAATGGTGGAGGATTGCTGGGCCGCTGATGTCGGGCTGTTCTTCCACTTACTACTTGATGACGATCTTGGACATCTGCTCTGGCTACCCCTGAGCACGCACCCGAGGCATGTGCACGCGAAGCACGTTTACGGGCCAGACTGGCGGACGATGAAGGCTCGCTTGGACGCTTTCTTGAACGCAGGAGGTCTCGGGCGCGGACGTGGGCAGGCCCCGTCCTTAGTTGCATGTCTTTCTCTTCGCTTTTTCCTTCCCGTCTTTGGAGAATCTCACTCTCTTTCCTTCTCCTTTCCTTCTCGTCTGTTGTCCTTTTCTTAGCTTAGGTACCCTCCTCTTTCCTCCCTTTTGCTCATTGCTCATTCTTTTTACTCAAATCTCTCAACTTCCTCTCCCTTCCTCTCTCCGTCTACACCTCTCTTTCCTTTCCCTTACTATGGATGAATTGCCACGCCTGAAGGCGTGGCGTGGATGAGCTTGATCGTCCCCTCCGTTTCCCTCCTTTCTTTTCCTCGTTTGAATTGGCGATGGTGCGCGTGTGGAACAGAGCGCGGAGCGGGGATCCTCGTCGGTTGGTACGAATCCGTGTGCGTACGGTCGCGGTGGTCAGCGCGGTAGGTTGGGAACGGGCAGCGCTTACCGGACGGCGCTAGCGCAAAAAACCTTCTCAAGACGGGAAAAGTTTTTTAAAGTTGAACACCTCACTCCTTAAATTGGAATCTTTTAAACAGGAATTCAAAACCAAATGGGAAGAAATTAAGGATAAACTGGAAGAAGGGGAGTTAGTGAGAGACCTCCCTCCTTCCATCCGAGAGGTAAGTCAATGGGCAAGTATTTTCTCAAGACGGGAAGCAAACAGAAGGAAGGCAAGGCAACAAAACCTTGAAGTTATGGTCGAGAGAGCCAAATTCAACCTCATCGCTAACCCGGGGGCAAGCTTGTACGAACATCTTCTAGAGGAAGCACGAACAGAGCTTAGGCAATGGGCTGAGTGGAGAAGACAGGGACTAGCCATTAGGGCCAGAGTAAAGGATTGGGAAAGCAATGAAAGCATGACGAAATTCTTCTTCCAAAATATCAAATCGGTCCACAAGAATAGTAGGATACAAGCCTTAAGGGATACCTTGGGAAACACGCAGACGTCACAGGTAGCAATATTGAAAGTAGCGGCAGGCTTCTATCAGAATCTATACGCATCTAAAACCTTCCTTGAAAAGCCAAGCAACGTACGAAAAGCAAGAGATAAATTTCTAAAATATCTGGACAAAAGTCTCAATCAGGAAGCAACAGACCTCTTAGAAAAAGAAATCACAAATGAAGAACTTTTCGAAGCGCTCAGGAGTATGCAACCCAATAAAACCCCAGGTAACGATGGATTACCGAAAGAGTTCTGACAAGCAAATTGGCACCTGGTTGGGGAATATGTTACCGCTTTTTTCAAAGGGGTCTTTACTAAAAGATCTATAGGTCAAGAACTGAGCACAGGCATAGTCACTCTACTATACAAGAAAGGAGATCGTGAAGATATAAGGAATTATAGACCCATAACCCTTTTACCAGTAATATACAAAATACTACCTAAAACCCTAGCCAATAGAATCAAGAATGTTACAGACAAATGCTTCCACATAGACCAAACAGGTTTCATACCAGAAAGATATATTTTAGATAATGTAGTAACACTAAACGAAGCCACCAAGATCATAAAAGACAAAAGAGTACACACAACTATATTATTCTTTGACTTCGAAAAAGCCTATGATCAGGTAAATTGGGATTTCCTTCAACAGAGTATGGAAAAGATGGGAGTAGGGCCAAACTTCAGAAGATGGGTAAGAGTTCTATATGGAGATGCCAGAGGAATGGTACAGGTTAACGGACACCTCTCAGAGAAATATGAAATGACCAGATCCGTAAGACAGGGAGATCCACTTGCAGCACCAATTTTCCTCTTCGTGATGGAAGCAATAACAGCCTACCTCCACAAGGATCCATCAATAGAAAGACTAGTAGTCCAGCAAGACGGAAGATCACTAGCTATTCCCACAACCATACTATTCGCAGACGACCTGACTGTCCTCATTAGAGCGTCCGACTCTTCGTTCCATGCTCTCACAAGAGCAATGCAAGCCTTTCAATTAGCAGCAGAAATGAAAATCAACTGGAACAAGACAATAGGCTGGTGGTTAGCTCCCTCCCAACCCCCCCAACAAACCCAAGACACACAAGGACTACAATGGCTAGACCCACAACAGCCGATGCGCTTCCTAGGGATCCAAATATCATCTGAAGGAACCAGTCTCCTACTCAAAATGACGAATAGACTGGCAGGGTGGCAAGCAGCCAACGTATCACTCATGGGAAGAGCTTTAGTACTCAATACTTCAATTCTATCCAAAAGATGGTATGTCGCTTTCCTCTAGAACCCACCAACAAGCTTTTTCGCAAGTCTCAAAAAGAAGCTAGGGTCCTATCTTTGGACTGGGAAGGCCGAAAACGAACATTACATCTCTAAAGTAGCCTGGAAATACATCACCAGACCCAAGCATCAAGGGGGATTGGGACTTTTAAACCCGCAATTTCAAGCACTGCAGCACAAGTGGATAATAAAACTCCTGTTCAATAGAGAGTTGCCATGGCACGAGATGGCCCTACACCAGATCCAAAACCTGGTACCCTTAAAAGTAGACCCTTCCATTGAAGGGTACCACTGGATCCTCAACCCCTCCTGGAACCCAAGAAGAAAAGAGGGGGGGAGACATGCAAAAGACAAGGATCCCACAAGCGAGCACTGGGCCACACTAATAAACCACGAAGTGACCGGTTCCGAAGGTGTCGAGAGTGTCGTCGAGTCACTCCCGGCGGTGCTCAGTTTCCCGATTTGCCCTTGCCTTTCGACTGGCAGGCCATTGTGTCATGGAGATCGCTGTTACACCCCATACAATAGTGGAATCTCATGCGTGCCTTGTACGCTTGCGCGGAGAGACCGTAAAGGGACCATGGGGCTGGAGCTGCTGCGCCGGGCCCGAGGCTAGATGAGGTGTTTGTCTTCGCCTTGCCGCGTCCTCGGCCTCTGTCGGGGCGGCCACCTTCCCGGGCGGTTGCGAATCTGTCCCCTTCATTGGCAGACACGGCCTCGCTAGTTTGGTCGTTTGGTGTTGCCGCCGCGACCACGGCCACTTTCGGTCGGTGTTGATCTCTGATCAGGCCTGGCACAGACGAGCGCTGGAGATTTTTGGCCTCCTTGTTCGTGACAATAATCTGCGCAGCCTTGTCGAAGAGTTCTGCCGGTGTCGTCAGGGTGTCCTCGACGTGAGTCAAGGCATTGCCCAATTCCAGACACGACCTCGAGATGAAGTAGTGTTTGATGGCTTTGAAGCCCATTTGAATGTCTCGGATGGATGTCAAGCGTTTGTACTCGGCAATCCAGTCAACACTCGGCAACATGCCTTGTTCGAAGACCATCAGCATGTCCATTGCCTTGATCTCCGGCGGCTCTACTTGGAACCGCTTATGCCATGCCGCCTTTAGATCATCCCAACTGATCTTGGTATGCAAGTCGGCAGCCACCACTCCGTACTTGGAGAAGAGATTGTCCAACCATGCTTGGCACGCGCCCCCCGACCGGGAGTATATAAGTATGTGTGGTGCTTGTGTTTTTTGACGTAGTGTAGCTGCAACGTGAGCTCGAACTTGTGGAACCATGGAATCAGGTCTGTCTTCGTTGAGTCGCAGAAGATCTCCTGCCCATCGAACTTTGGAGTTGTCTCGCGCGGTTCCGAGCTCGAGTGGTTGGCGGCAGTAGAGATCCGCTGCTCCAACTGTTGCGTTGGGGTTTGCGATAACTGCACGCCGTCCTTGAGGGAGCCGACGTCAATCTCCAATGCCTCGAGGCGATCAGAGGTGTTGGAAGAGCTGGCATCGGGGGCAGCAACGGGTCGCTGCTCCAGCTGCCAGAGGCGGCTGTGGACTTGAGCCAACGCGTCGTCGAGGCTGTGGATGTCCTCCTGCTGTGTAATGCATGTTGCCAGGAGGTCCGTGAGATGGGAGAGGAGTAGAGCGATCATGTTTCCACTCTCTTCCATCTTGCCATTCTCGGCCTGAGTCCGCCAATCCGCTGCCATTGTGAGCAAAGCTCGCTCTCTGCTGAATATCTTCTCGCGTCGTTGAATTCATTCTTCATCGGCAGCCCTCGCTGCTGCCTCGTCGTGCTGGCGCTGCTGTTCGATTGCCAACAGACGTGCCTTCTCGGCGTCCTCTGCCTTCTGCTTTGCTGCGGCTGCTACTGCATCCGACGGTTGCTTAGCTTCGGTAATTAAAAGCAGCATCCAGGCCTGATAGGCCTCATCCGTTTCCCCGAACTTCTGGTCCATGACGGTTGTTTGCGAGCGCAAAAGCATAGATCAGGCCGGGGGCCAGCTGACGTGGTACTCCCTGCTGCTGACGTGGCACTGCTGTCGGCTGGCATGGCCTGCTGACGTGTCCTGCTGACGTGTCCTGCTGACGTGGTCTGCTGACGTGGTCTGCTGATGTGGTCTGTTGACGTGGCCTGCTGACATGGTCTGCTGACGTGGTCTGCTGACGTGGCCTGCTGACGTGGCAACTCACCAATGCCGCCGCAGGGGGTACCCGGAGACAGATAGAGAAGGTAAGACCAGAGGGGGCAACAACATAGGTGGGGAGGGGTGGGTGGGATAAATCGCCCAGATAAGGAGCCACTAATCAAAAAGAAAAGTTTGAACGTGCAAAAAAAATTCGAGAAAAAGAAAAAAATACTCGTTTGCAAGTTCAGTAGGCCTCTGAATTCCCCCTGAAGTGCGAAATTACCCGGAGGAAAAATTTCGAACGTTCAGACTGCAAATGATTGTTCGATGAGAATTCCAAAAAAAAACTAAATACAGCGAATATTTGGAATTACTCAGATGAGAGTACGCGCAGTTGGCGAATGATAACTGCAAGAGGGATTCCCGTACCTTTTTCTTTTAAACGAATTTCGAAAAAAAAGTATTCCTGATTTCTAAATAATGGGAAATTGCAAAAGGAAATCGAAATTTTCAAAAAAAAAGATATTCCGGACTTTCCAACAACGAAATTTCGAATTTTCAGAAGGAAAACGACAACGGAAATTTCAGATGTTGTGCTATTGCGATTGTCCACAGCAGAAATAGCAAGAAATTTGAAGAAAACAAAATCCAAGAAAAAGAAAGAAAAGAAAAAATTGATTTTCGGCAGTGAGGTCAAAATCGTGATTTTGGGAGCTAACTAGTGTGCTCTAATCAATCAATCAAGACTAATCAGCTACCTAGTCCCCGCACACGTGTCAGATCAGGTTGTCGGATACTTGCAACCGCACGAGCCGCACATTCGTGCGGAGTTCTGTACGGAGTTCCGTGCAGGGGGTGCCTGTGCGGAATCGTGCAGGTTTTTTATTTTTATTATTATTATTTTATCTTTTTTTGGGAGGAGGAACGGGGGTGCGTATGACAGGAAGATGTGGATATGGCAAGGAGAGGGGGATATGGAGAGGAGGAGGAGGATGTGGACGAGGAGGACGAGGAGGAGGAGGAGTTGAGATGGGGGAGGAGAAGAGATGGACGGAGGGAAAAGAGGAAGGGCAGGAGGAGGACGAGTGGGAGGAGGAGGAGACATGGACGACGAGGAAGGGTAGGACACGAGGAAGGGAAGGACACGAGGAAGGGAAGGAGACAGGGAGGCATGGAAGATGAGGAAGTACGAGGAGGAGGAGGAGGAGACAAGGAGGATGAGGAAGGGCAGGAGGAGGAGGACGAACAGGAGGAGGAGGAGGAGGAGGAGACGAAAAGGAGAAGGGAGGAGGAGACATGGAGGATGAGGAAGGGGAGGAGGAGCAAGGTGAGGCAGTACTCCTGTAGTTTTTTTTTCATCTCGGTTGTAATTTTGGCGGGGGGCCTCAAACGCACCGTTTCGACCCCGGCCTTTTTTTTTTTTCTGAGGGGGGTGTCCGGTCATTCTCCGCACACGTCGTGCGCCGCACGAGATCGGTTGGGCGCGTGCGCCGCACGTAGGGAACCCCCTGCACGATGTGCGCTTGCATGTCTGGGTTGTCCTGATTCACGTGCGGTGTTCCGATACCAACTGTTACATGCCCAGTTGGGCGATGTACATATAAAACCCGAGGATCCGCAATGTGATGAAAAAGACTGAATGGACAATGCAGTGCAAGTAGAATCTCAACAAGCAATGTACATTCTGATACATACAAACATGGTGCTTTATAGCGCAGGGAAGACTTAGATACAATCCTGACCTGACCGAAACTGACCTCTATCACGTAGTGCAAGATAGCGTAGCAGAATGCTAGAATACCAATGACTAGCCCAATCAATGTTGCAACGCAGACCCAACATACATCATTCTCATCACAAAGTGTGAAGGGAGCCTGGCGCTATACACAGG